GCAGTAAATGTGTCTGTTATAGTAAAAAACCCCCATTCATTGTCTTGCTTGGCACAAGAGTAACTAGGTTGTAAACCAGAGTGTACAAAGCATGAGTTTCAATATGTTCACAATAAACTGCTGCTTCTGTTAATGTCAACTACATGAAAATGAGAGACGAGTGTAGATTCCGTGTTTTTGTTTTGTTGAGGATTTAGAAGATGATCACATGCTCAGTGAGCAGTAAAGCTCTGGATTTTGACCATAGATAGCGAGAGGCTTTGATAGTGAGAGCCATTGTTGGACGGATCCCACCAGATTGAAGGAGGATAAGCTGCTTGGGGGATGCGGTCGGAGCAAAAACTCTTTTGGGCTCTGTCATTTTTCCAGAAAGGGGGTATCCATCATTCTTTTGATGAGGGAGTTTTAATTATTAGACGATGGGGAGAAATGGACTGTGGAGAGATAAGTGATAGGATAGAGAAGTTCTCTCTGGGGCATTAGCCCTTCAGATATTCAACTGTGGGAGTGTGTGTGTATGTGCGTGCGCTCAGATAACTTGTCCCTTTGATCCCTTAACTAGTGCTCTGTTTGAGTGCATGTTAATGTGTGTGTATTCCCTTCATAGCAAGTACTGCATAGGGTCATCTGTAGTGAGACATGAGCTCTCAGAGGCTTCGTCATTTCCGGCCATCACTGACAGGTGCAGTGTTGCATAATGCATAGTGTTAGTTCAGGTCGAGAACTTAAGGCACACATGCATTAGCTGATTGTCATCTGTTTCATTCATGCTTCAACACCACAGGCCCATTCATTCTGTTTGGCTACCAGCTGACGGGTTTTACAGCCTGGTTATTGTAACCTGACAGACGCTGTTCGCTGCCACGGCTTTCTTCTCCACCCCAGCCTCCTCCTTAATGTGCTGCATTTATTCTATTGTTGAGGATTAGTTTTCCCTCACAATCCTCGTCGTTGCTTGGATTCTTTAAGAGCCTTTTTACACCAAATCTAACTGTGTGACTGCTTGTTCATGTCATGTACCGAGTTAGTTATTAAAGGTTTATTTGTCCAGAAAGTCTCACTGAGATCCCAACATCTTTTACAAGAGAGAAAAAATTACATATATACAAGATCACAACAGACCGATTCAGTCATGCAAAAAAAGATCACACACAGACACACCAGTTAAAACAATTACAAATATATGAATACAAATATTATTCAAAATATCAGAAAGTAGAACTTAAACGTCCCTCAGAGGAATTCATGTGTCTAACTTGATAGATATTTAAGTGTTATCAGTTATTCCAATATTCATTATGATTTGCGCTGTATGTTATTTTTTCAATTAACTTATTAATTGTTTAGTTGGTAAAATGTCAGGAAATACTGAAAAAGAGGCCATAGATTATTTTTTTCCAGACGCACAGTCTTACATACAACATTCAATCTGAAATTGTATAGAACATAGAGAAGCAGCAAATCCTCACATCAGAGAGGATGGACATACTGATTTATTGTCCATAATTTTTATACTTGTTTTATTCAAATAAAATGCCAGAGAGTAAATACAGGAAGATTGTAGGTGGTGGTTTCAGAATCAGTCCATGTTTAAATGCACACATTCGTGCAGACGCTGCATTCACCTGTTCATTTGTGTTCATGGATGTTTATCTCGTCTCTGCAGCATACAGCGAGCCTGATATTATTCTCCTGCAGGTCTTGTTTCATAGAGTCGTATCATCCTCACATGGTCTGAAGAGGCAACTAAATAATCCACGTGTTCTGAAAACCTTCTGTAGGACGCTCTCGCTTTTAACCACTGTGTGTGTTTTAACCTGCAGGTCAAAGTGAGCTCAACCTTAAGTGCAGCAGAAGCTTTTACATTTTGCGGCCAGAGACATAAGTGTGTCTCTCTCTTCCCTCTCCCTCTCTCCTGCTGCAGGTTCCCATTTCAGGTCTGGCTGCCTCGTCTTTGTCTGTCCAAGCCCATATCTCTCTCCGTGTCACCATTCGCTCTCGCCCCATCTATCTGCGTCTCTCTCCATCTTCTCGTCCGCACCCTCATTCCCTCACTTTTCATCTCTTTCCATTAACCTCTCCTCTGCCTGCTTCTGTTCTCTGCTTCTGTTCTCTGCTTCTGTTCTCTGCTTCTGTGCTCTGCTTCTGTGCTCTTTTCGTGCTCTGAATCTTCATGCACGGCCCCTTTTCTCAGTGTCCCTGTCTGAGTGGCCCTATTGCTCTGTCTCTGTAGAACAGTGTGCCGGCTGTTAGCAGTGCCCCGACGTCATGGCACATGGCTGCGGCATCCTGGCTATAAATAACTTGGTCTCGCGGTGCTCAGTCCAAGACAGGACCGAGAGCCAGAGGGAGAGCAATCTGCTGTCTCCCTCAAGAGATGCTCGAAGGAGAACGCGCAAATAAGACGGCGTACTCTGCGCCGCCTTCACCACCAAGACCTTCACTGCACTTGGTGAACAAAGTGATTCTGAATTTAATTATTTTTCTTGACAAGGGCAAACGTCTGGCCAGGAGGCAGTTCAAGTACTAAGGCTAATCAAAGGTTAGGGCTCTAAATAGTGAGGTGTAAAATAACAAAATCCAAATGAGGCTTGTGTGGTGGAGTGGTGGTTACAGCCTCTGTGATCTACTGCGTCAAATCAAGTCAGACTCATTCAATGGTTCTGGTTTGTCGCTGTTTTCATCGTTGTGCCATGTAGATTTATTTCTATTCTACACATAATTAAGAATGTGCGAGATTATTTATTGACTTGTCTCAGTGTTGGTCACTTTCGAAGGCGTGATCGATGACAGTGAACCGATCTTTTCAGCGTTGCGTTGTTGACAGTTCTGAATTGGATGTAAGTCGCTTTCACACCTGTACATCATTTCATCTCACATTCTCTCACATAGTCACATGTATATGTGTTACCATAGTTAATAAAGGATCTTCTATAAGCTGCTCCAACAGCTCCATTATAAGACCGTTATAAAGATTTAGTGGTAGTTTAAACACGTAAGGAAGGGGGACATTTTACTGTTGAATCATCAACTTCTCAGATCTCTCTCGCTCTCTGATACAAACTGTAGTATAGTGTATATACACTGTAAGTTATCTCAAATCTAATGTGGCATTTTTATGCTGCAACTTCTTCCCACTCATCTGCTGTCATATACACTGATACCAGTATATCTACAATAAACTAATATTGGCCAATATATCAGACCGGATTATTTTTAGTGGTTTAGCTCAAGTCAAGACCATAAAATCCTGTAGTTAGTTTCACATTCTTTCACACCACAAACATACCGCACTAGAGGTCACTCCCAGCCTAAATGATCCAAAAATAATGGGCAAATGCACCAGAGTCATAGCACTGCTTCAACACTATGTGAAAGATGAGTCAGTATTATGCTTTTCTTTTCTTTTTTAAATAATTATACCAAAAGTCATCATGTTTACATTTTCTTATTCTCTGTCTAACAAAAAGCACACTTGCAGTGTGGATTGGATTTGCACTGGCAAGTGTTTTGCTAGATTACAGAACGCAAAGTCATTCACACAAAAGAACAAGAATGAAGAACAAGATTGCTGAGCCTTTCTTCAATCTGCTTCCTAGGAGATTCTTCCCTGTAAACAAACATATCTGCACCAGAAATATGAAGGTGAACAGATGAGGCAACCCGAACTGACCAGCTGCACTTTTTATAGCTTCCTTACATCAGCCACTAAAGTGTAGCTGCAGCTCTCTCATTTGTACTAACAGTACATGAAGGGTGCCAACCATTACAACTTCTGGATTCTCCACATACACAGAGCCTCCACAAGTATCTCATTTAGAATCACAATTCAACCATTGTAATTCTGGCGACGGCACAGGTGAAGGTATTTCTTTTCCTCAATGTGTGTGTTGCAATGAGCACCTGTGGTTTTTAAAAAAAAAAAAAAAAAAAAGTTTAAAAAAGGATTAAAGGTCCAAAACTTCCAACTTCTTGTTAATCCTAACTAAGGGAACTAGTTACTGCTTGTGACAATTACTCAACACTTCCTGTGTCTACTTCACAATAAAGAAGTTTATTCGCTGGAAGGCTTTAATAAAAAAAAAACGAAATAAAAGTGCCTCAGAAAGTTTTGCATTATAAGCTTGTTAACATCCAAGGTCGGCTCATTTTCTCTTTTCTCTCACTTGTGTCCTTGTGTTTTCATGCTCACTTTTGTTTCATTAACTCTTTAGGCTTAATTAATTTAAATTGTCAAAAAAAAAAAAAAAAATTCCATATATGGTTGTAGTTGAACATTCACATTGTAAAAATGGATCGACCAAAGTCTGGTGCTGTTTGTGATCTATTTTCAAATCAATGAGCTTGTCAGTCATCTTGTAGAATTTCCAATCAATAAATATCCCAAGAGTTGGATGCTGTCCTACAGAAATAGTTTGTTTTGGAGATGTGCCCTGTGTCTTAGACTGTGAACTTGTGGGCAGATGCTCCTCAATGGAGGCGTGATGCCTGCAGCAAGCTGTCACCTAAATAACATCACGTTGTTTCTACTGTTGTGTGTTTTGAGGGTAAAAAGCTGTTTGAACATTTCTTATTATTTTCTCTGCGTTAGCGCTCAGACTTGTGATCTGGTTTGTCAGTGTAGCGACAAACTGATTGAGATCTTCCAGTTTTGCTTTCTTCCCATGGCCATATGGAATATATAGCACTGCACATATTGTGAACGCACACTCCATTAGCTTTGGTTCTGTTTCTCTGCATTTCTGTGGGCGCTTTATGGAGACGACAAGCCTCCCCCTCCTTTTCTGGCAGAGCTCCTCTTGCTCAAGCCTTGTGCATGTGTGTCTCTTTGCTTAAACAATCAATAAATTAATTAATAAATAAACACTTCAAAAGTTAATCTGTTCCTTAAATTGGTTGTTAGCCCATGAAAGGGTTATTGTAACACGACTCCTGCTGCATGCTCTGCTTTATTTCAGTGCAGTCTAAAAGTGAACTGTGTGTGTGTGTGTTTCTTCCAGGCGACAGTAACCCCAAGGAGAGCAGCCCCTTCATCAACAGCAGTGATGCTGCCGCAGAGAAGAGCCAGCAGTATGACGGCAAGAACATGGCCTTGTTTGAGGTACAGTCCGATATTCTACACACACACACACATACACACACACACACACACACACATACACTGGTTTGTTAACAGTTATGATAGTAAGAAACAGGATACACTCATTCTCACAATTCAGTGATTGAATTGGGGCTCTGACACTGATTAATGAGGATAATTACTGTGTGAAGGGCATGTGGGGACCTCAGGTTAATGCAAGCAAATCTCTCACTGCTTCAGGAGAGAACTTCAACAAAGCAATTTGCCACAGATCTACATTAGTGTATTTACATTTTGTTCTCAGAGGGATTTCTACAATAAACAAGAAAAATTAAACAAAATCAGTCAATGAACATTTTAGTGTGTAAGCTCTTTGTTTTTTGGGGGTTGTGGGTTGGAATTAGCAAAAAAGTACTTTTTAAAAAAAAGTAATTTTTACTGATCTTCTGTGGCCTGATGAAACACTCATGACATGCCGAGGGGGGTTAAAAACAAAGATGAAAACACTGACTCCAGCCTTCCTGCCGGTGTTTGTCTCTCTGCAGGAGGAGATGGACACCAGCCCCATGGTGTCGTCTCTTCTCAGCAGCCTGGCCAACTACTCCAACCTGCCCCAAGGTAGCAAGGAGCATGAGGAGGCCGAGAACAACGAGGCCGAGTCATCGCGCAAGAAACCCGTCAAGGTATTTAACAGAAATACAACAAGCGTCACAGAACATAAATCTATGCATTCATGCTTGCAAATATACTGTATTTAGGAATATTGTATACTAAAGTTAACACAGTCTAACTCACAGTACATAGATTTAGTTATCACTCATCTGTTTGTTTACTAGAAAACAAATCTTGGTTGCATGAGGATGTACGATCTGGGTAAAAATCAGGTGACACTGACCATCTCCCTTTTAATAAAAAAAATAATAAAAAGTTTGTATTTCTTCTGAAAATCAGTAAAAAAAAAAAAAAAAAACTGCAAACATAGCTCGAAATGTGTTGCAATAAACAAAAAAACATTAACAGGGTTTCTAGAGTCATTGTGTATAATAAGCATTATATGGTTATGGATTATAATGCATGTAGCTGCTAAAGTGTTTATCATCTATTTGTAAAAACATTTAAATATTCTTAAGCTGCTTTTAACCACGTTTAATGGGATATGCACGGTATGCTGCAGTTTCCATGTTGCTGCAGTACCAGTTTGACACAGCTCAGAGTAATGATGTTACCAGCTACAGTGTAAATAATAATGATGAAATGATAGTTTAAACTGTCGGCACAAAAAGAGCAGGTTTTCCAGTTCTGAAAAAATGTTTCCTTCTTAAACAAATTATTAAAATTAGCTTACACCAGTCTGACGCTGTGTGCATAGATGCATCACTGTTGCTGCCGTAATCTTGTTTATGGTGTGCTCTGGACAACTTGTTCACCTAAGAAAGGTTGTTATGTTTGTTGCCAAGCGTTGGTCGTTAAGTGTTACCAAATATAGATTTATAGATTTCCATTAGATTACATCACAAATCCTTTTTTTTTTTATTGTTTTGTTAACACACTCACTGGAGAGCCAGAAAAACTCCAGTGGTTTAGAACTTGTCAGTCATTCTTTGTTGATATTATAAATCCCCTGCTTGTGTTACTGGATTGCATCTTAAATGCCACTCACTAATGACTTCCTTCCACATCATCCCTTGGTATTTTCTGCTGTTGGGTGTTGAGATGCCAGCAGGAAGGAGTTTACTGTTTTTTTTTCCTCAGCACTTGATCGACAGAGAGGCAGCTACATTATTAATCCTGTGGGAAATGGTGATTTTAGCCGCACAGCAAGATGTAATACAGCAAAGCTGAAATGAGAAGAGACGATGACGATGATGATGATGATGCAAATAATGAAAGACATTATGCCAAGTTATTGTGGAAGGCTGATTCACATGTTAACATATTTCACGCTCACTTTTAAAATCACTCCTTTCCTTTCCTCTTGTGCGGTTTTGCTTTCACTCAGGTCTTCCTCCTTCCTCACCTTGAAGCAAATCACTGATGATGACCTTGGATGCCAGAGTATCTATCTGATACACTGTCCTCTTTATCCACTGTGAATCCAGATGAGTCCTGTAGATAAACAGTGGATCCTCAGGGAAAAAAAAACATTTTATACTGACAGTGGAGATAAGGTTTATAAGTACAATTGACCTCATGACTGTAGTGATTTCTGCATGTGTACCTCTCTTACACAAAATACTGTGGCAAAATCAGCATCATCTAAAGAAAACAGAAAGTCAAAGTGCATAAAAATGGAAAAATCAATTTTTGACAAAAAAATTAATTAAATAAATCTCATCCCAAGGTCCACTTGGTTTTTCTGTAGATTTCAGCCACATCTTATCGTCAGGTTGAGTTTGCTCGTTTGTCTTGGAGATGTTTTTAATTTTTGTCATTGTGAGCATTGCTAGGATGTTGATGTTAACATTTAGCTCAAAGTATCGTTGCTCTCAAGTCTGCCCCACAGAGCCGCCAGCTGTAAACTGGATTTATAGTCCTTCCAAACTGCATATCAGATTGTCGTATAGTGTCAGACACTTCCTGACACCTTTCCAACATCAGATGGGGGTAGGTGGGTGGGAGTCTGTCTGTAACTTCCCGAGACAGATGAGCCGACATTCAAACCCACTTGATGCTGTCATTGGCCAGCTGCATGGAGGTGAGAGAGGAGTCAGGCGTTGTTCTTCTCTTACTAGCTCTTTTCCCCATTCATTACACAACAATTTATAATTTAATAATAACATAAGTCAACTAATGTTGTCTCTTATCACATATTTTATTCTACTAGAGTTAGCACGCTAACCAGCTAGACCCGGCCCGTCTTGTCACTTACGTAATACATATTTCTTTTTGCTTCTGGTGATATCTAGAAAAACAGATAGTATATTTTCCAGAAACAGCTTCTCAGTTTATGAAGATAACAGTTTTCACTGGAACAACTTTATACTGAAGAAATACATGAAAACTGTTCTGGGGATTATCAAGAGTAATAGGGACACTGTTTCTGAAGGCAAATGTAATTTAGTTGACCTAACCTTCAAACACGTTTTAAAGCTCTTTCTATTATGTCCTGATTGTACAAAAAAATGCAGGTAGCAGCTTTAACCAGCAACTGTGCCTGTGGGAATTCAACATCAGTCCAACATGTCTTCACTTTGTTTGCTAGTTGCACAGTCCTCCATTATTCCAGTTCTCCCAGTTGTCCCAGACATAAGGTGTATTTGTCTGGCTCAGTCCCCGGCTCAGCTAACCCTGGGAGCAGGTCTAATCTCCCCCCTGTCACCTCAACCCCTTCAATACGTTAATTAGTCTGCACGCTACACCAAGCTGCTGCTTCTCCAATCAGCAGCACATTCCACAGGCAATCTCTCCATCGCCATGAGAGGCTTTTCATTAAGGCAGCCTGTGGCGTTTTATCGCTCACACAACGACCCCTCTCCCTCCCCCTCCCCCTATCGCCTTCCTTCTATTTCTCACTCCACTCCCTCTCCCTCTTCCTCACTCTCCATCTCCTTCATCATCGGTCCCTCGAGTGAGGGAGTAAGTGAGTTGTGAGAGAGGCAGAGCAAAGCAGCAGGCTTTCTTTGTCGCAGTGTGAAAGCCAAGATTAGAGATTTGGTTGGCGTGTGACATGAGGGAGCAGTCTGGAGGTCGCACAGGTCAAGATGGAAACCAGTCACTGCTAATCTGCTGTCGATTTTCTCTTCTCTGACTTTATTCCTTTAACACAGGAAGGGAAGGCACCTTTTAAACTCAGAGGTGATTCAAAGTGTTTCAGAACAACATTTAAAGCTTTATAACACTGAATCAAATGATTTCTTTTATGTGAAAGGGGTTGTTCATGATGAACCCACTGAGAATTATCTGATTCTGCACTTTCCCCCCAGCTCTGCTCAGCATTTCAGCTCATTGTTTTGTTTTTTCAGCCCTGAGCTCTACTGTTTTAGTTCACCCTCACCACTTTCATCAGCACTGTTTCTAGCAAAATCCACTCAACACTACCTGCAAGACACCAAACGACTAATACTGTAGACAAAGTTGGTGACTAGCTGGTGAACATAGTGGGAGCATGTAGCTGCTAAAGAACCAGGTATTTGGTGGAAACCAAAACAAAGCTAAAAAACAAATAGTGAATATTGGACTTAAGATTTGCTGGCTGGACAGAAACTTGTCTCCAGCTGACAATATGTCAGTGCAGGTTTAGAAAAAACAGTGAAGAGGAAAATGAAATGAAATACAAATAAAACAAAAAATAATACATAAGAAATACAATTGTCCCAAATGCAATAGGAGAAATAAAAGTGCAGTAGTTTCTATTCAAGATTTGAAAGCGGCGAACATGGGGACGCATTCAAGATCATCAAGAAGTCGGTTCCATCTGTGTGCAGCATCGTCATGTTCGTTTCCAACAAGAGTCACGGGTTCTGCCATGTTTATATTCTTCATCGTGAGAAATATATTTAGGCTCTGGGTCGTAGTGTTTTGTAAAGTAAGCAGCACTTTAAAATCTGTTCCATAACTAAATGGAAGCCAGTGTAATGGTTTAAAAACAGGAGTCGCGTTCGGTTCCCCTGGTTCTTATTAGAAACCAGCGTCCTGACTGCACTGCAGTTGTCAAATGATCTTTATGGGAGGACAAGACAAGAGACCTTTGCAATAGACAAAATTAGCTTCTCTAAATCTCTAATTCTTGCTTTTGGGTCTATAAAAATGCCAAGAATTTTACCTTGGCTTTTCATCTCAGTAATTACTTTGACTCTTTCCTCGTTGCCAAATGTAGTGATTTATGTCTTCATTCACTGTGTTTAATATTATATGTAATACCTTCCAGTGGCAGTGTGCAAAATGACAATATATGAAAACTGATGGTCAGTTTGAAGTAGCTTCATATATTTTGTTTATCCAATAAAATTCAACTTAACATATACTGTACTATATTTGCTCTATGATATCTTGCAAATCAACCAAACTAAACACAATACAAACCATGAACTTTTATTCAAGTCATTTTCTGGACAACTGCTCTCACCGAGAATTACAGGAACATAATTCCATACGCTCCCTGCCTCTGCTTTTTGCAGGGCAATGTTCCCTCACATAAACGTTGTTTCCTTTCTGGGTGTTTTATGATCCCCGCTCTTAGCCCCCCCCCCATCGCACCCCCCCCCCCTCCCCCCCCCCCCCCCCCCCCCCCCCCCCCCCCCCCCCCCCCCTCTCATTTAAACTTGGTGCATCGGATCAGTATTCCCATCAGCAGCCTTCTGAAGGATGTATCCTGATTAATGTCAGTTCATGTTATATATCACAGCAGCGAGCATGTGAGTTCATTGTGGTGCTAAACAGAAATATCACAGCTTATAGCCATTTAGCAAAGACACCAGGCTAACAGGCTTAGTGGAGGTATTTGTTCTATGTAGGAGTCCAATTATTATTATTGTTAGTAATCTGCTGATTATTTTTTATAATTATCAATTAACCACTTAGTCTATGAAACGTCAATCATCTTTATTTGTCTGGTTTCGTCCCAAAACCAAAGATTCAGTTTTAAATGACGTGAAGAAGGAAAAACGGCAAATACACTCCGAGAAACTTGAACCAACATTTTCTTTGGCATTTCCATTTGAACAATGACTGAAATTATTAACCA